GGTCCCCCCTCCTCTTGATTCTTTGAAGCTGAATTTTGATGGGAGTAGCCAGGGTAACCCGRGTCCYTYTGGGATGGGAGGTGTACTGAGGAATGAGGCTGGAGAGGTTGTCTTAATCTACTCTGGCCCTTTAGGAGTTGGGAACTCTATCCGAGCAGAACTGCTAGCTGCAATACAAGGAATACTTCTTGCAAAAGAAGTGGGCATGGAGCAGCTTCTGATTGAAGGAGTCTCTAAGACAGTGGTGGACTGGTTAAATAATCTGGAGGATGTCACTTGGGGCTATAAAAATGAGTTAAAGAAATTCAAATGGCTGACAAGAAATATGTCTATAACACAGTACAATGGGTTGGGAGATCAGCTAATGCTTTTGCTGATGTCTTGGCAAAACAAGGGATAAATAGGGAAACATTGTTCTGGGCACAATTGTAACTATAGTTTTAATTTCAACATTCATGTTTTCTCTATTGTAGTTTGTGTATTTGCTGTTTGGAGAGGCTGCTCCTCACACCTCTAAGGGGATCTTCTTGTATCTATTCCTTATTTTAATGGAATTCATGTTATTTATCAAAAAAAAAAAAAGAAAAATACAAAAAGAGGGGTCAAAACTCTTAACCATCCCAAGAAAGCAATTCAGATTACAATGTTGCCCAGAAAAAATTAGCTCTTCCCACCCCTTGTTTGGCCAATGAATCTGCCAAGGAATTGGCGCACCTCTTAGTCCGTTGAAACTTGATTTCCATATTTTGTATGAGATGTCTAACTTTCTTCTTTTCATTCAGAAACTTCCACAGACTCGAATCATCCTTCATTAGCCAGTTGATAGCCAACTTAGAATCACCTTCCACTATCAGATTTCTAATATTTAACTCTTGAGCTTTTTAACCCTTCCAAGACAGCCAACATTTCAGCTCTAAGAGAGTCCCCCCATCCAATAGAACCAGAATACAATGCGATAATTCGACCTTCATCATCCCTGAAAGCTCCCCCTATACCCAACAGACCTGCATTTCCTTCACTACTACCATCAAAGTTCAGTTTAGTGAACCCTGAAGCTGGAGGGGACCAAACTGGGTAAGATACATTCTTCCTTGGAACTCACCAAGCCACTTCTTTCCACTTCCTGATGATATCTCCTTCTGAATAGTTTTCAAAAATTTGCAAAGTCTTAACCCACTGAATCACCCTTATAGGTAATTGCAAGTATTTAGCATGAGGGGGTTAATTTAACCCACTTACCAATCAGGTGATTCAGGTCCAAGATGAACAAGAAAGGTAATTTTAATTCAGATAACTTGGATGGTAATGGACTCATTAAGACTACTATGAATTAATAAAGTAACCAAACTCACCTGCAAGCGGCGTAGAATAGGCTTTTGCCACCGTTCTCGCTGATAAAAAGAACAAGAAACCATACATAAGAATTTAGTCTACAACATAAAGCATAAAGCATAATTCATAAATAAACTGAAATCATGCCATTTGTTAACAACAAAATAAAATATGCTCTTAACTTCAAAAATGAAGAAGAAGAAAAACCACTAAACTGTTAACTGCTTGACATGCACAAACATACTTGAAAAAATACAAATAGGAAACCAACTTGGACAGTCTAAAACACACCTTTGTCTTCCAGTAGTTATATACAGATTGCAGTACTGCATACTTTACAGAATGAGACTGCAATGCCTGCATCAAAAAGGCAACTGCAAACAGTTAAAACATGAAAAATCAATCTCTCAAGCAAAACATTCCACATGTCCTCTAAGGGAAAACCCTCATCTCATGACAAACCAAAATGGTAAGGACTGGATTTTTTTTTAATTACAGAATTTTCACAAAGATCAAAGGAAGAAGATTATAGGAAAAGGCATCCTATAACAGAAGATAGCCCAGGCAATACAACCCCAGGCCCCATTCCCACAAAAGACAAAAGTAAAACCAATGACAAAATGGTACAAAGAAACAAATCTCTGCCATACTAGCCCCTATAAATGCTTATTTGTGCAAGACAGACGATGAATTTTCAGATCCTGAGGTTCAATAGAATGGAGGGTTCACCCTTGCTCACCAAAGACCTTCTATCTCTAATGTAACAACTCATGCCATTCTGGTAGAGACTCTTCATCCGACTGGACCAGAATGGACCAAAATTATATCAACATAGAACTAGCAGAAAACAACTCCTATGCCAAAGGCTCCCATTGCAACACAGTTGTCAATTGAGCTACACCATGTTTCTTGAGGGACTCGGGATCTGCTACCCACATCCATACCCACAAAGCACCACCACCATGTATTGGGAACATCTCCCCATGAATGACAAGGGAGATATTCCCAATGTGCAGTTGTCATGTCTCATGGGTAGAGATGTGGGAACATCTGGTAGGTAGCAGATCCAAGCTCTTCTTGAGGAAGGAATCCAACCAAGAACCCTCTTGGAAGGTCCACTTAAAAGAAAAAAGTTGTAGTCGAATAAGACTACTATCAGGCCTAGTTTTAGTGTTCAATTAACAAAAGAAAAACTGAGAAAGAAGAAGAGGATAAGAGAAGAGAAGAGAGGAGGAGAAGAAGAATTCGAAGGGGAGATTAGAAAAGAGAGGAAATAATAGATCTGCCGCCCCTCTCTTACTATTTATACTAATTTCCAAATAAAGATAAAAGGGCTGAAATACCCTTGCTGCTTACATGGCAAAAAATAAAAAACTAATAATTAAAGACTGACTCAAAGACTTGACTAAAATAGCTACCAACTACCAACAAACAACTAACTGCTATGAGTACAGTAGTGGGGACCACATCAGTGTTCTCTACAAAACTCAGGCAACATACCTCTGAAATAGACCTGTTCGTGTTAAGCCCACGGGCTCGGGTTCGGGCTTTCCCAAATAAGCCCCGCCCAAGCCCAAGTCCAACTTAACAATAGTATATACACAATAAAGAATATAATAAATATTATATAATATATTATGTAATAATAATATCAATAGCAAAAAATGTATTATATACTATTCTATATCAAAACTTGCACTACAAAAGAGGACTTTCTTCTTTTCCAACCACGATAAAGACGGTCTTGAATACATAACCTTGAAGGCAAAATAAATGAACCCACACACCAAGCTCGAGACTTCTGCTAAAACTATTAAACTTCTCCCCTCAACAGTGGCCACTTCACCCCGCCCCCCATCATTTTTCGTCCACAATTCCTTCCTCTCCTCCTTCACCTTTCTCCCAAGCCTTCCCTCCTTCCCCAAGAACTCTCAATTTGTTAGACTCTTCCTTTTTTTTTTTTAATTTTCAATTGCTCTTCTCACCACCGCTCCCCCCCCCCCCTCCAAAAAAAAGAATAACCCGAAGGCTTCCCAGTTTCCACATGTCTATTCACTAGTCGATTAATACCCACCGTCCCCTTCTCCGAGTTACCTTCCTTGGAAGACTCTTCAACTCCACTCCCCCCCTCTCTCCTTTCCTCTTGTTCCTCAAACTGAGATTCTGTGACTGCCATATTTCCCAATGCTTCTGATCTTCCCCCCTCCCTCCACTGCCACTTTTTCTATGACCTCCTCAGTGATGTTCTCTTCACCTTCCTTCTCTTCTGTAAGCTTTAACCCATTTCTTCCCCCCCCCCCCCTCTCCCTTCGCGAGTCCTCAAATTTTTGCTGGATGGAAAAGAACCTAAAATCTTTCATCAAGGTTTGACCTCAAGCCTTGTTTTTCGATCCCTACCTTTTGTAAATTATCTTGAATCTGCAGCAAGGGTCGTCCCCAACTATCTCTTCCTTATGTCTATGAAAGACTTTGGTAACATGAACCAGCTGCCTGTTTCCGACACCCTTTGGTTTTCTCAGCTCCCCTGTTTTAAGTGTGTCATTAACAAGGACTTTTTGAGACTCCTTCAACCTTTCTCATACCTAAATCTACCCCCAATTTTCCTACTAAAACCGATTCTCAAAACTTCCACCTCACAAACCAGATACACTTCCACTGTACTCGTTTCTCCCCCGAAAACCAGATCCAAGACCCTACTGCCAGTCCCTCGTGAACTTACCTTACTCTTCGATGCATCGCCTAGAGCACTTACTCCATCCCCTTCAACCCCATCTGATTCAGCAGAACTAGTTGTCGTCAAGACCCTAGAACTCTCCTCTACCGCAACCCTACCTTTCGTGGCACCATCATCTGGTTCCAACAAAATCATTTGAGATTCATCCGGTATCGTATCTGGGCCTGTTTCAACCTTCAAACTTCTCAGACAATTTGATGAGCTCAGCTCTTCAGTGCAAACAAACCTTGTGGTCAGCCACTCCCAAACCTCTTTCTTCCTCTTTCCTAAACTGTTGAGAGGTTTTAAGACATGATTTTTAAGTCCAGCTACTTTTTTTGCCTTCAACTGATTAGACGCACTAACCTTCCCCAACCTCCTTCTATATGACCCAACCCCTGCTAATCTTCATGAGCAAAAGACAAATCTTAGATTGCATTTTTCCGGCGATCCACCATGTTTGTCTTCTCTTGGAATTCACCGCATATCCGACTGTGTGGAAACCTTTTCTTTTCCCATCTGTCAAACTTCGGCTAAGGACGATGACGGACCCAAAATACCGTCCCCCATCATCCCCCCAACTTAACTAATGTGAGTCTTTAAAGAATCATGTGTCCTCTCTTTTATGGGCCTTAATGTCAGCCCACCTTCCAACATATGTTCTCCACGTATCTCTTTTGACAAACCCGGCCCAACTCCCTCTTTAATCCCAGCCTCCTTCACGTGACTACTTAAAGAGCCACGCAGATGGGCCTGATCCATTAGGCCCACCCGGTTTGACTCTCCCTTCTGGTTGAATTTAAATTCTCTTCTATCTGGACATGTGTGCTTTCTTTAAAACTATTAATTAACACTTGGGCATATGAAAAGCCATCTGTCATTGCTTTTCGCCGTTTGGCATTCTCCACACTCTACCTTTGCTGTTCCAATTTGGTGAAACTTTTGTTCCCTAATGCCCCAACAAACCAGGAATTGCCATATAAACACTCCCTCTCCACCTGTTCATCTTCTTCCCTCCTACCTTCCTTCCCCAAAAAGGCTTCCATGGAGGTTGTCATCCACACAGAGTAGGAAGATGAACCATCTGTCACAAACTCCACCTTTCTGGGTATTTCTTCTGGTTTCACACCATTGAGCTTAGGCTGCTGAATCAAGATCACATGCATAAACACCGACCAACTGAGCACTGCAAATGGATGCCAAGGATACAAACTTTCCACAGATGAAAGGGCAACCCAATTATTCTAACGATGATATTATCTTCAATACCAGCTTCTCTGGCATTAGACAGAGGGCACCATCTTGACACTGTCACATAACCCGAAGAGGAATTGATGTTTGTTGCATCTATCTCTTTCTCATTATCTAGTAAATTGACTAGAGCCTCACATTTTTCAAATGGGTAATAATAATGGAGTTTTTTTTTTTATTTTTAACTCCATCATTACTGCTATGAACTTCCAATCCACTGGCTGCTGCTAGTTTGAATCACCAGTTTCTTTTTTCACTCCTCCATACCTCAGCCAGCAATCACCCTACTTCCCTGAGTACCCTTTCTAATTACAATTGAGAGATCTTTTGGATCCTTCTGCTCCTCCATGACCTGGCAGACCTGCCCTGGTTCTACATGTTTGTCACTGCTGAAGTGGTCTCCCTTTCCTTGTTATAAGCCTGGGCTTCTTGCTGCTCACTCTGCTCCAAGAACTCTCTGAGAACTGTTAAAATCTCCTTCCATCCTTCACTTTCCCTTCCTTCAGGTAAGCATATAATCTGTTTTCCCTTTACTGAAAAATTCATTAAGTGTTATGAATCTTCCTCTAGCATTTGATTTCCTTTCAGCCTTAAACCCTCTATTTACCTTGATCTTTGTATTCTTATAGGTATCTTCTCTCCTCTGAGATAAGGCTTCTACCACAAACCCCTGAAACCATTCTATTACTTCTTTTCCCACTAACAGCACCATCAACACATTCATCTCCCTTACCTTCAAGGTGAGCTTACCTTGAGTTCTGTAGATCTCGAACAACAGAGTCTTGGGTTCCACCTTCACCAATCTTCTCCATCTCCCAGTCTTGGTCAGTTCTGTAGCTCTTGAACCCATCCATGACCTATGCATCAATGACCTATGCATCAGAATCATTGGGTGAGGTGGGTCATAGGCATTCTCTTAATTACATCTATGCTAGGGTAGAGACAACCTTTTAATTATGACATAGAAGTTTAAATGAAGAATGGAATGTATTATTATTATTAATAATATATAACTAATATACTACAAAATATCTGTCCAAACCGGGCTTCTGTCCAAACCGGGCTTCAGGCTTTATATAGGTCAGGCTCAGGCTCCGGGCCTGTGAGCAGGTCTGCTCAAAACTGGCCAACCTGCTGAAGCCAGTGAATAAGCTTAGCATTCACAAGCTTTGTTACTTCCTTCTATGAGTGGTTTACACATTGGGAGATTTGCATTCCTTCACTCCCCCCACCCCCACACACACAATGTGCATATATTTAATTACAAAAATATGTAGAATTCTCACCTCAATGGTCATCTCTCATCTACACCATACCCAGGCCACTCCTCTATGGTTCACTACAGAGCACAAGTGCCGAATAATGAATACATGCAATCAGCATTGCAAAAGAG